TATCTACACATCCAAAGTCACCAGACCATGCACGTAGCACATTGTTTCCAACATCTTAATGTCCCATCACGATTGCCATAGAGTCCGGTCAGTTGAGGTTGCCGGTAATTGACCATTAAATGATTGGAGTTGATGTGGTCAGTTTCTGTTGGAGCTGCCTTTTTTTTTTTTTCAGAAACATCAGGAGTCTCTTTCAGAAACAATGTGATTCATCTCTGTTATTTTCACTGGAAAGGTAGATAGCTGTCAAGAATTTCTTCTCTCCTCAAAGCAATAATGTAAATATTCCAGAGTGGTCTTATAAGAAGAGGAGATTAAGAATGTCAAAAAGCCAGTTCATTTCTTTAAAAAAAGAGAAATGATCACCCCTTTACCGGATCACATTAATTTAATACCAGCTCCCAAGGGTTAGGACAAAATCACCAATATAATAAGTCACATGGGATAAGCTTTCCCATTTGAGTGTGGAGGCTGGAGGACCCACACACTTCTTCTCTTTGTCCATTCACTGCTTTTTTGATCCTGGAGATCTGACATTGGGGAACACGGGAGTTCAAAATGATGGCAACATATACTTAGAAATGCGATCTACTTTTATTTTCTCTTAGTTCATTGGTAGTTGCCTTCTCCCAGTTTGATAATCTCCCTGTCAACAACCACAGCACTGATGTTGCAAATAGATTAGGGAAGCACCCAAAGCTGGATGAATTGTGCCAAGTGTATTTTCAGCATGTACATACAATACCACGCCTCTTAAATATGCTTCTTTTAAAAGGGTGCACGCTGCAGCATGAACTGTGTGCGTATTTAATGTATCTTTCTGGAATATGCTGTGTGCTTAATATACATATTCTATAAATAAAGTAATGAAATGTATAATAGAAATACATATTTCTGTATGCAAATAAATATATTATACACAAAATCTTAATACGCAATATGGTATGTGTTGCTTCAGAGTAACAAGACTAGGTTTTGTAGGCCCAGTTTTTTAAAGTAGTTTTGGTTTTTGAAGGAGAGGGTTTGAGAACAGCCAAAAATCCTACCCGTATTACTGTTAAGCTGTTTTATAATCTTTGAAAGCATGGCACTGGTTTTAAATATCTCTTGGAGGAATATATTCATAAATCTTGGCTGGTGTCACCCCACATGACCAGAATGCTCTTTGCTCCTGTGCTCCCGACTGGCCTGTGACTAGAATCTTTCTGGCTGTTACTGTTCCAACAGCTGTGTTGATCTCACGTCTGATTGCCTGATGAGATTGCAACCAATTCATTGACATACAGCTTTGCTCTCCTCCAAGTTAACTGATTTTAGTCAAATAAAAAATAATCATGCAAGGAGGAAAGGATGACCTTCAGAATGTTTTTCATTCTGGAAAACAGGTAAAAAGTTGTACAAGCACTGTATTTTATGAGCCACTCTTTTCAGTTTGAGCCCAATACAGCATCCCATACATTAAATGCCAGAAATTTCTAGTGTAGTATGATACTCCAAGTTTTCTCCAAGAAATTATGAAATAGGTGCCTTCTTTTTTATTTTTAATTTCAACTTTTTTTAACGTTTATTCCTTTTTGAGAGACAGAGAGAGACTGAGTGAGAGTGGGGGAGGGGCAGAGAGAGAGAGGAACACACAGAATCCAAAGCAGGCTCCAGGCTCTGAGCTGTCAGCACAGAGCCCGACGTGGGGCTCGAACTCATGAACCACAGGATCGTGACCTGAGCCGAAGTCGGAGGCTTAACCGAGTCACCCAGATGCCCCATAGGTGGTTTGTTTCTGAATGCCCTACATTTTCTTTATAGCACTTCTTTTCCTTCCCTTGTTACCGACTCAACTACCCACGTTCCCCAGAACATTTTCTTTGGCTCATTAGCATGAGTTCCTAGTTAGCAATTACTGCTATGATTTTAATTGATCCTGGGCACGCCATCCCAAGAGACACTTGCATTTTAATAGAAGAGCATAAGCACCAAACATCTCAAAGAGTCCTATTTATTGTCTTTAGTTGCCAAGGTATACAAGATGTTCAGTGATTTCTAGTTTTCTATGAAAATTATGACCTGCTTCACCATCTATACACTTCCTAAATTTTACCTGTTATTCCATAATCCACCCGGGTGCATTGTTGCTTCTTATCTGAACCAAAATCATCTCTAGAAAAAAAACTCAGTTTTCTGTCAATTCTCATTAGTGTCTTATTGTTCCAGTGAAATGTTCTCATTACATTTTTTAGAATGTGATTGCATACTGTATCGATGAATTGTCAAATGTTATTCCTTACGAAGTGGTTGCAAATGCTGAGGCAGGAAAAATATCTTACCATCACAAAGGAAGAATTTTCCACATAACACATGTCAGTCTTTTTTGATCAAAAATTGAAGCAACAACGCGGTAAGTTGTGGAATGTACATACTTATTAAGTAAGTGACATTCTATAAATTCTGTTCTTTGGCTTCCTAAACACACACACAAGTCATGGGAAATGACAGAGAAAAAAAGTCATCCATTTTCTTTATTTGCACCATTTACCGTGCAGCTCATCTGAATCCTTACACTGGACCTTTGCTGGAAACATGCATGTCCTCGGAGAGCTTGTTGAAGGATTTTTTAAAATGAGTATCTTTTTTGGAGTCATTATTATTGGAAGATAAGGGATAGTGTTAAGGGATAAATTGTGTGCATGCATCCAGGAAGAATTAAAATAGATTGCAGAGCCAGTTCAAATCTGGATAAGAGTTGAGCTATTTGTACGAAAAGACAAACATTATGTATGATTCAACTGGATGCTTAAAGCAATTTTCTTCACGCTGGGAATCTTACTCTTCCTACTGCCTTTGTATAGAGAGCAGGTGCTTACATTTGTGAGGGCGCGAGTAATCTTTGCCAGGGCCATATTGTATTTTGCCACATGTCAAACTTCAGCCTGATGTAGAATCACCTGCAGATTGTTGGGCCTCACCAGTAGGTCTGAAGTGGCGTCTGAGAATTTGTGTTTCTAACAAGTTCCCAAGTGATCCTGATGGGAACCACACTTTGAGAACAATTACCTTCTTCGGTCTAATGAAAATTTTTACCAAAGCATTATGATGTCTTCGCAAGACGTCTGTTACTAACGGCGAAAACATTACATTTAACGAACTAGCCACAGGAGAGGATACTTTGTCTTGGACGTAAAGTTTGTTGCTTACTTACAAATAGGCTGTTCGTATTTTCTGTCTCTTCGGAAACTTTTAGTGCGATGATCTTAACACCAGTGATTAAAAATAACCATATTGATAAATTTACTTGAGGAACCATTAAGATATCAAAGTTTAAAGATAAATATAGCAGAAGCTTGAATTCTGTGACATCTCCAAATGCATCTTTAATGTTTAAATTTTTTTCAATGTTCATTTATTTTTGAGAGAGAGAGAGAGATAGCACGAGTGGGGGGAGGGGCAGAGAGAGAGAGGGAGACACAGAATCTGAAGCAGTCCAGGCTCTAAGCTGTCAGCACAGAGCTCGACATGGGGCTCGAACCCATGAACTGTGAGATCATGACCTGAGCGGAAGTCGGAGGCTTAACTGACTGAGCCACCCAGGTGCCCCTTTAATGTTTATTTTTGAGACAGTGTGGGTGGGGGAGGGGCAGAGAGAGAGAGGGAGACCCAGAATCTGAAACAGGCTCCAGGCTCCCAGCTGTCAACACACAGCCCAATGCGGGGCTCGAACTCACAAACCGCGAGATCATGACCTGAGCTGAAGTCAGACACTTAACCAACTGAGTCACCTAGGTGCCCCACTTTAAAAATGCATTATATGGGGCGTCTAGGTGGCTCCGTCGGTTAAGCGTCCGACTTTGGCTCAGGTCACGATCTCGTGGTTCCTGAGTTCGAATCCTGCGTCGAGCCCCTGCGTCGAGCCCCTGCGTCGAGCCCCTGCGTCAGGCTCTGTGCAGGCGGCTCAGAGCCTGGAGCCTGCATTGGATTCTGTGTCTCCCTCTCTCTCTGCCCCTTCCCTGTTCATGCTCTATCCCTCTCTGTCTCAAAAATAAAGCATTAAAAAATTTCTTTAAATGCATTTTATAGTCTCCTACATATATTTTTGCATAGTCTATATATGCAAATACATTCTCCTCTTATGAGTATTTAAAATGAATCATTCCATTATTCTGTTAAGAAGTAATGTTAAATAAAAAATATTTACATTCTAGAAGGAATTCTTCAACCTCTTCTTAACACACACACTCATGTACATAAATACATATGCACGCTCATATACACACATGTACAAATACAAACGACACATAAACACAAGTTTCACCTTAAATATCTTGACTGTGCTCAGAGGCATAACCTTCCCACTGCTTTCAAAAGCATTTGGAACTTAGCTAGAGGAGACATTGAACTCCGGTCAGCCAAGTAGTACTGAAGAAAAAATTCTGTGCTGTGGCCAGTAAATTGCAGAATGTTCTCAAAGCTCCTAGGGTCAGTAAGTTCCAGCTTTGTGTCTGCCACCAACATACCCCCATGGTCTGAAGAAAATTTCTCTGAAAGTCAACAATTACATTGAGTCGTGGTGAGGAAACATGCCTGAAATACACGATCATGATGATGCCTGGAGGACACGTGTACAAATATCGACCTTCATGATGGGTACCCCAAGATCACCAAGCAGATTATTTTGTTTTTCTTGGGATCCTCACCATTCTGTTTATTAGTGAACAAGTAGAAGAGGTCATTTATAGTCCCGATATTAAATGGCTGAAGAAAACCATTTTATTTTTTCTCAACCCTCCCCATTGGGTAACATATCTTACACAGAAATAACAATCTGAACAACTCTGCATTTAAGCAGAAAAGACAACCATAAAGAATACAGTTAAGACTAAAACAGGAGCAATGTGAATATGACATCCACGTGAGAAAAAAAAAAAACACGTACGCCTAAGCTCTCTCGAAATAACAATAAATATTTAACAGAAATGCTTTTCTTTTTTCCAGGTTCTTTGTATTTTTTTTCTTCATCTATTTTTAGTATTTTTGCTCCAGTTTTTACTAATGCTGCTGTAAAAGTAAATTTTATAAATGTTCTGCGCGGCAAACACATAAATTACTGTTTCCTTAGACCTCATCTTTAATTTTGTTGTAATTGACATTGCTGTTGCAAGAAAGCCAAAAGACATTTAAAACAACAACAACAACAGCTGACAATGACACATGCTTTCACTATCCAAACAAAACAAATGTAGCCAAAATATGGATAAAGGGCAAAAACACGGCTTTAAATGAAAAAAAAAAAAAAATCTGCGTACGTGATGGCTTCCCAATGTAAATATTTCCAAACAACATGGCATCTATTTCCTCTGTGTTCTCGAAGGCTTTCCCGCTGCTGTTCACAGTGCAGTGGACGGACGTGGGCCCTTGGTCACTCGGAGAAGAGCTCAGGGCATATCAATGTGCTGTTTGAAACAGGCCCTGTGGGGACACGAGCAGGCACTTGTCACGATTAAGTATGGGACGTAAACCAAGAAGTGAAAGGCTGTTAAGCCGTTGTTAGAAAAGCCGTTCCATATGACGGAAAAGGGAGTTAAACCAGTACTCAGTATACACACATCTGTTAGGAAGCACATTTGAACAGACAAACACGATTCCTCGGCCGTGTACAGGTGAGATAGTTTACGTAACTGAAAAATTAGGATGATAGCTTATGTTACCTATAACAATTGCTAAAAATTCCATTATGGACAAGGAACCTGGTATCCTTGTTTCCCCTTTGCTTTTTATTGAAGAGTAAGGAATACAACGTTCGTTAGAAACACACAAGAGTGTAGAGTCCCAGTGTTTTTGAAAATCTTACATTAAAAGACAGTTATTTAAGTGTATGTGAACTTGAGAGCCTCTTTAACGATAATCTCCTTTATATATATATTGGATGAAAGATATCTATAGTGTTGCTATAAATTATACATATTTAAACAAGCCTGCATAATTATATTATACATTTTATTTATAAGAGAAAAGAACGCGTTTAAAGACATGGTTGTAGGAATTTAATGGAAAGTGATGCACAAAAAGGCAAGGAATACCAGTGGAAAATACTCAACATACCAGAGGAGTGTTGGCTTAGATGTTGCTGATGCGCGTATGCAGAAACATCCCAGCTTCCAAAATCAGCGCGGAGGAAATCACACGTGGTGTCCTTGGATGTGTTTTTGCCAAGCTGTATTCCTAAATAAAGCATTGTAGCAGTCGGAGAATTCAACAATAAAATTTTTTTCATTATAATTCACCACATTTAGAACACATTTGTGAACATTTTGGAAGCCAGACACTACCGTACTCCTGGGCACTCTTTACGAAAGAATACCAACTGGTACAAAGCCCTCCCTTGAAAAAGTACTAATTGTAACACGAATTAGTGTGAGCTCTGGCTCTCCCCTTGAACACTTTCACTTCACTTTCTCCATCTACTGGATGAAAAGTGCTCCAGAGCATTCCTTCTGTCCTCTGCTTTCCATTTCTTAAATAGCGAACCCATTGGAGAGATTCCAGAGTCGTTCCGGATTCTAGAAATACTCGGTGGGCTAGGTGTGTAGGGAAGCTTTCCTTTTTTGTGTGTGATTTCCCCAAATAACTGACTTGGAGACATTGATCTGGAATTCCTTTCCTCCTTCCAAACAAGGGGAAGCAAGTCAAAACTCACACAAACTAATGAATGCCAAATGATGTCCTCAAACTACATAGGCCAGGAGGTACCATGGTAAATGGATTGTGAGAAATTACTGTCCTTGCCAGTGACTTAGGGCCAACTCCAGCTGGAGGAAAACATTTCCTTCAGATATTTTCACACTCAAGCTTATGGGAAACTTAGATTATTTGGTTCTCAGAGTTGATCGAATGTCATTTGCCGCCTATTCTCACCTCCATCTAAAAGCAGGAATTCTTGGGGCCTCCACCATGGTCATAGACACTTCACGTTATGCAATGGACAGTTCCTTAAGGCTCCATACTCCGCTCTCTCTCATCTCATTATTCTTTCCTGACACCAGCCCATCCACACCTTCAGCTTTGGTTATCATCTTAAATCTGATGAGATATAATATCATCTCCATCCCACTCTTCTCCACCATCTACGTCAGAACCCGTCTTGGATACCACAAACGTACCTCAGACTCCCCACGTCCAAGCTCGCATTCATGATTTCACCAACGACACTGGCCCCATTCTGCTGTCTCTTAGCCCATCCTCTACTGCGCAGACAAAACGGACACCACGCTCTGTCATCCTTGACTTTCACCCCAATTGCCCTTCCAGTCCTCCCAGTTTTACCTCCTAAGTATCAAATGTGTCAGATCTGCCCGTCAACTTCTCCCATTGTCACTGGTGCCACCACGTCGTGCAAGCGATCTCACTGATTTTGCCACATCCGGTCCGATCCCGTCCCATCTGGCTGGTACCTGCGGGCAGAGCCAGCCTTTCAGAAGACAAATCATATCACATCACTCCTCTACTTAAAACTTGTTAGTGAGTTCTTCTGACCGCGTCCACCTGTCTTTATCTGACCCGCAAGCCCTTAATGGACTAAGCCCCTCCCCCCTCTCCAACCTCGCCTTCCAGCACCCTCCCCGGTGATTTCACTGCTCTTGCATCACTGCCAAAAGCCACCCTCGCCACACACCCCCCCCCCATCATGTCCTCTCCTGCCAAAAGATTTTAGCACATGAGCTTTGCACAACTTTGCCTGGAAAGCCCCCCTGACCCTTCGCTACCTGCTTAGCTCCTAATAATCCTTTAAATCTCAGTCAAATAGGACGCTTGCAGAAATGTCTCCCCTGACTTGTCGGACGACATCAATTCCTCCAGTGTAACTCCCATAAGGCTTTTCATGATCGCAACCTTATTTGGGGTTGTAGGATTGTTTGAATAAATTCTGGTCTCTGTTCGTAGACTGTAAACTTTGTAAGTACAAAGACCACATTTGGATGTGTCTACCTGAGACAGTGCCTGATACATAGTCACTGTTCCCTCTCTGCAACATTTTTTTTTCTCCACTCTCTAGTCATACGACCTTGCGAAAATCATGTAGTTGTTTCAGATATAGGTCACCTATATTTACATGTATACAATATCGCGATAAATTCCATACATTTATATAAGGAATGTTTAGAAGATTGGAAATAACCACGTAGTTCCTAGCAGCATGCTCAACAAAGAACGGTACTCAATAAAAGATGTGTTTATAACACTTCTTATAGTGGAAGTCTGTGGTACAGACAAAAGATGCCATAGTCTCTCAGACTGCACTTTGCTGAGCCCTGAGTGTCCCATCAAGCCAGTCGGTGCTTTACTAGGACAAATGGGACCTTTGGACCCTCGGGCTCTCGTCTCCCAAATAGAGAATGAACACTGAAACACCCGAAGTGCAATTATTCTGTCCTTCTGAGACATGGCTCAAATTTTTTAGTTTCTTTTTTTTTTTTTAATTTAAACATTTTTTTTTTCAACGTTTATTTATTTTTGGGACAGAGAGAGACAGAGCATGAACGGGCGAGGGGCAGAGAGAGAGGGAGACACAGAATCGGAAACAGGCTCCAGGCTCTGAGCCATCAGCCCAGAGCCCGACGCGGGGCTCGGACTCACGGACAGCGAGATCGTGACCTGGCTGAAGTCGGACGCTCAACCGACTGCGCCACCCAGGCGCCCCTCTTTAGTTTCTTTTTGCTACATATTGCAGTAATAAGATTATTGGTATCTTACATGGATCTGGTTCATTTTACATGCCAGGCATTTTATTACTTAGATGTGGCTCGAATCATAGGAGGAGTTATTATTATATTCATATTTTAAATAAGGAACCAGAGAGGCTCCATGAAACCAAGTAATTACCCAAGGCCATAGCTGGTATTGGTACAGCCAGGCTCAAATCTCAAAAGTGGTTTATCGAAAGCAGGAAGCCTATAGAAGCAGCCTGACCTGGTTTCCTGGGTCCAGGCCTGGTTTACACTGGCTGCCTGATTCATTCATTATGCATTCTTCCCCCTCTTCCTGCAAGAATGTTAGCTTGGATAATATAGTATGTGGTTAACCCTTTATTTTGGGGACTGGAGGGGGCACCAGGCCAGCTAGCAGTTGAAGAATGGTTTTCTGGTCCCCATTCTGTCATTTCTTAGCTGTAAAATCTCAGGAAGTCTCATTTGTTTGCTTTAGCCAGAATATAGTGTTACCCTAAGCGCTTTCCAGATTAAACAAATTACTGTCAGAAATATTTTATAGATTAGAATTGATGCTTAGAGGTTGATTTCCGTAGTCTGTAGATGCTTTAGGCAGCTGCCTGGAGCTCATCTGATCTGAGGGTTTGAGATTGATCTGTGTGTGTCTGCATTTAGAGTGGACACACCACGAGGTGAGCCTTTCTGAGAATTGATGCTGTGGAGAATCTTTTATTTCGTGTAGTAAGTTGGAAGATTCGTTGAGACAGTTAAGTGGAATGGTTCCTAGAGCAAATTCATTCATCTCTTTTCTGCCTAAAAGTATGATAGAGGCCACATCTAAATAATATCTAAAGAAGTACGAGTATCTCAAGTACACAAACAGAAGAGGATGAGAAATGAAAGGTAAACTCAGTTTGCACTAGAAGCAAGGAAAAGCAGGGCGATGCACCATCTGCTATTTCAACCAAGGCTTAATTTCACCCTCTTGGTTATACCTAGCTGTGAGAGGTGAGATAAGCTTTATATATCTGCTTTCAGGAACTTTGTATGTCAGTACTAAACATCAGAAATATAGATAAATCATACAGGAAAGAAAAAGAGAAAAATATATATAGTTATTCTTATATATATATAATAATCATATAAATGGGAATGTTTACTGGATCCCATCAGGAGCAACATGTGCGGGATGGGGCTGAGGGGCAGGAGCTGGGTCATGGGTCTCTTCCCTTTTTGGGCTTGCTGGGGGATGAAAATAGCGAGCCCTCCACTCCCCAGGGACTGCAGCAGTGACACAGCTGGGGAACATGGGGACAGGTGGAGGGCTCTCGGGAAAGAAAGAGGTACCTTCTTGCCAGGGCCCTGGTTTTTAACTTTACTCTTTTGTAGAAGGATTCTGAAAGAAAACCAATAAAATGCACTTAAGCCAAAAACAACACTATAATATATATACACACACACACACACAAACATTATATATTATTATACATATAATAATATATAATATATAATACTATATAATAAATATATATAATATATATATAGTTCCCTTCCAGGAAAGTAAATAATACATAACATATAATAAATATAAATATATATAATATATACTTATATATTCCTGTATTGACACCCCACCAATATTGTGTTCTACAGTGATGCTCTTTTTTTTTCTTTTTTTTTTTAATTTTTTTTTTTCAACGTTTATTTATTTTTGGGACGGAGAGAGACAGAGCATGAACGGGGGAGGAGCAGAGAGAGAGGGAGACACAGAATCGGAAACAGGCTCCAGGCTCTGAGCCATCAGCCCAGAGCCTGATGCGGGGCTCGAACTCACGGACCACGAGATTGTGACCTGGCTGAAGTCGGACGCTTAACCGACTGCGCCACCCAGGCGCCCCTACAGTGATGCTCTTAGGAGTCTGAAGGTTTTGATAAGGCCGAACAGGTTTTTTTTTTTTTTTTTTTTTCCTTTTTCCCCCTTAAACCCTCCCATGTATCTTACAGTTACTGAAATTTGGGGAATTTTTATTACAATTCCTAGATACTCTGGGGCGCCTGGGTGGCTCAGTCGGTTAAGCGTCCCACTTCAGCTCAGGTCATGATCTCCCGGTTTGTGGGTTCAAGCCCTGTATCAGGCCCTGTGCTGACGGCTTGGAGCCTGGAGCCTGTTTCAGGTTCTGCGTCTCCCTCCCTCCCTGCCCCTCCCCTGCTTGTGCACTATCTGTCTCTCAAAACTAAATAAACATTAAAAAATAATTTTAAAAAGATTGTCAGGTACTCTGGCATTAGTCTTCAAACAAAACGGTCCCTGCTCACCTCAAACAAAACAGTGGAAGCATCATTAGTGGAACAAAATGTCCCTTCATAAAATGCCTACTGATTTTTTCAGGGGACTTCATGCATTTTACCAAGCCAATCCTTATACCTCCTCCTGGAAGGGGTCACTGTCATCCCCTTTCCCAGATGAAGGATATGTGGGTCATAAGGTTAAATGATTTGGCCTACACCAGTCTGATTGCCTGCAAATAAGGAAATACGTTGCTCTTTCCCATTTAAAGAGCACACTCAGGCAGTAGAAAACTAGCAGACGAGGGATTTCGTACGCACTTAAGGGGGAGGATATTGTACTTTCCTTCCCTAATGAGTTGGAATTTGTAAGGAAAGTCTTTTAGGGACTGCTCTCGGGGACGAGTCAAGAATTTCAGGGTATTGTCACAAGGCAAGCAACCTGAGGTCATGTCAGTGCAGTCCACTGGGCTCTGTTGTCCCCAAATGGTGCCGGGAGGGGCCAGCTTTAGGTTCCATCGGTTTAAAATTTTAACTTATTTCAAAAGAGCGTACCCATTCGAGGGAGTACTATATTTGCTTTTCAAAATAGTTCAAGTATCATTAAGATCTGTTAGGTATTTTCCTAACTAGAACCCAACTTGCTATAATGAAACTCTTTCCTTTTTTTGGTGTGGTGTGGTGAAAAAAATCATAGTCATCTTTAAAGATATTCTAGGATAAATTTTGAGAAGCTGCTTGAGGTTTTCAAGTTAAATCATTGAATATGACAGCCGAGACTTTAATTTTCTATCTCCTTTATTCACTTTCAAGAGGTCTAATTTTAATTTTCGTTTATTTTTGAGAGAGACAGAGTGCGAGCAGGGGAGGGGCCAAGAGAGAGGGAGACACAGAATCCGAAGCAGGTTCCAGGCTCTGAGCTGTCAGCACAGAGCCCCACGCGGGGCTCGAACCCACGAGCCTTGAGATCATGACCTGAGCCGAAGTTGGTTGCTTCGCGGACTCAGCCACCCAGGTGCCCCGAGAGTTCTAATCATAGTTGTTCCACTAACTACCTTAAGAGGCAGCCAAGAGTTTTCAATTCCAAGTAAAGTGGGACCTGCAAACAAAAGCCTCCAGGTTGAAGAGAGAGCTCAGAGCCGACGGCTGGAGCTAACAAACTGTCCAGGGAGATCCTGTGAGTGACTGTCGTGGAGCCAGACCAGACGGTTGAAGAGAGCAGTAGATGCAAATTTCTCTCAGGTAAGAGGTCGGCCTGGTGCCGGAAGCGCAATAAGGAGCCTTTATCACCGGTCATTAGGCAGAATCCTGACATCTGGACCCTGACAACATGGAACAGGCCCACCAGATATTTTTCTGGAGCCCCTCCCGACCCACGACCTTCTCCATTCTGCTCTGTGGCTTCTGAGAAGCTGACCTGTATGCACCGAATTAGCACGTTCCTCTACCTTCTCATTTCGAGTCGGAGGTTTCCAGGGGACCTTGCAAGCTGTCAGAGGACAAGGGGAGAACGAGATTGTAATATGCCTTCCCCTGAGCTCCCTTCCATGTGATACACCTTTACTTGGCTGTGTCCCTCTGCAAGGGATCAAATGGATGGCCTCTTTGGGTTCAGCACCTCACCCACCCCCCATCCCTGGTGTTCTAGTTTTGGGGTGGTATGGATGCTTC